TTATAAATTTACTGTTCAGAAAGAACGCGTCTAAAACATAAAAAAAAACTAACATTATCATACAGTTGTACTCTTCGCGGCATTGGACAAGAATGCTGAAAATTACAACATTTAATGAATTTTATTTACATTTTAACATATGACTAATGCAAAGTATTTCCACCACAGGAACACTTCCTGGGGAACGCTTCCTTCCTTCGGGGGAAAAGTAGCAACACCTACGTTCTCACTTTCTTCTATATTCCATTACAATTTGTTGGAATCTCAAGGATAAACCATCCATTACATTCATTCATACATTCCACTATTGAACATGGTCCTTCCCAATAGATCCTCATAGGGGTGATTTTGCCGTAGTTTCCACACTTGGCAGGCGGTTTGGGAACCGCAGATTTTTTTATAATTTTGAGTTGTTTTCAGGAAGATGATGCTGGCCATCTACTGTTTCTGTTTCCCTTTGTCGTTCCTTACGATACCCACAGGAAGATACAGGGTTGTGAATATTACTTTGGTTATTATTGTTAGATATAGGGTAGGATAAACCACAATACATTTTAATTGAATAACCATTTCTCCGTGTGTGATATAAATTTTAACTTTCGTTGATAATCGAATCCAGAACCTCTTAATCTGAAGTCAGGCACGCTGGCAACTAGGTCAAGAAACTATATTTTATCTGTTTATTTATCAAGACAATAAGTACTTAGCATAAATGTGTCAAGATTAGCTACAGTTATCAAACATGTGATAAAACCTAATCATAAATTCCTTCATCTGTAAACTAAACATTGAAATAACAGTGTAATGCTCAAGTGAACTGACTTGCTACTGACACTTTCCCATATCCCGTGGGTGTCGTAAGAGGTGACAAAGAGAAACTAAAATAGCAGATATCGTGTAGTACCGGCATAACAGAATCTTCTACCGCATATCATAGCGTGGGTATTGCAAGAGGCGAAAGAGGAAATTTGGAACAGTACGCCTATCTCGGGCAGCAGCATCTTCCTGATAAAATCTCAATAATAATAACAAATGTGGTTGCTAAACCGCCTGCTGAGTCTGGTACCGATGGAACATATACCCTTGACTTCTGATGGACTGTATTAATGACAATGAATGACGCAAATAGTACGCTACATATAGTATGAAACTAGTTTCCTTCCTAGCCTAACAGATTAACAATATTCTACCTCTGTTTCAATATGTGCACTGTTTCATACAGAAACATATAGCAAATACAATGACAACAAAAAGCTGATCTCCAATGTAATTGTCTATTTTTGAAGTGTGATGGCTCTGGCCACATGGTTGCAGATAAGATTATATAACATTTCATCAGTCTTCCTTTTACAACTACATATACCTCTCATTTTGTAGAGAGAGGATTCGTCTAATGTTAGGTTACTATATTTTTTATAGGATAAGGGTGACAAACGAACACACAGTCCACCTGATGGTAAGTGGTTGCTGTGGCCCATAGACATCTGCATTTATCCTCGATTACGAATCAAAATGCAGATGCGTTGTCACCCGTGAGGACTAAGATGGAATACCTCGTTTCCAGTAAAAAGGGTCTCCGGTTCTTTACACTCACCATACGAAACACAGCAGCATTAAGCTGCTATTTTACGCTGGTATTCTGTGAGAGCGTGGTCCTTCACCGGTCGAGCCGACACATTCGTGCTACAACTATACCAGTAATATAGCTGCAGCATGGCTCTACCACGTAAAAGATACTATATTTTTTTGATACTATATTTAAAAACACTTCGTTTACTTTTATAGTCGTTTCGCTTAAATAAATTTAAGTAAAGTTACAGCCTATATACTTCTCACTGCTGGCCACAGGCATCCTCTCACTTCTGAGAGGGTTTTAGGGCTAGGAAATGTCCGCCACACTGCTCCAATTGGTGTTGGCGAACTTCACATCATCTTTGAAAAAATTTTTTTTATATTTCTCAGACATGCAGGTTTCCGCACGATGTTTTTTTTTTTAAATTGCAATAAACAATTTTATTGATGCTGGCGGGGATCGAAACCGGGTTACTCGCGTGTGAAACTTACAGCGAGCGCGTAGCCTCTGAACTACCACGGTTCTTTAAATGATGTTAACAAAATACCAGTTCAAAAATTTATAAAACGTAAAAATAACTTTTTTTTTATGTCATCCTGAATTGAGATGTTGAATGAATAGTTTGTAATACAACCTGTTTTTAGATGCACCTGGTAAAAAAAGGCGGTAATGCAGCATTTTAACTGATTTTACTGCGCACGCACACATTTGTACGGGTTGATAGGTAGACAAAAACGTTGTTGGTCATAAATCACGTTCATTCAAAAAGGGATAGTGTCAAATAAAAGTAGAAGCCTTACTTACTCACATTTTCAAAAACTGGAATAACGGTGTATCATTATTTATATATTTGAATTTAAGTTTAAAATTTGGCTGCTCTGAAAAATAACCCTATATAGCTAGGTAGTAGCACGAATAGATCGGTTGAACCGGGCTTGGATCACGCTCTTACAGAATACCAACGTAAATTAGCAGCTTAATGCTGCTGTGTTTCGTATGGTAAGTGTAATGTTCTCCAGACCGAATTTCGGTTACACAGGATAGGATTATAGTGTCCAAGTGTATGTGTAAGCACAGGTGCATTCTATTCCCTCACTCTCATAGTCTGATGGAACGATAAACCGACACGACCGGAAAGAGGTCAGGCGCAGGACCAACGGCTTTACCTGTTTTTTGCGGCACGGGGGTAAAAAATCGCCAACTTTCTAGCTCCAGGTTGCTGCTGAAAATTTCTTGACAAAAAAACCCAATAACTGATTTTGGCTCGACCCGGGATTTAAGCCCACCTCATGGTCAGGAACCACGTTTACGACAACTAGACCAACGAGGCAGTCAATGTCTCTTGCTGACGGTGAGTGAAGAGGACCGGGGAACCTTTTTACTGGAAACGTGATATTCCATCTTCGTCTTCAGATGTGACATCACATCTGTTTATTTATTCCTAATCGAGGGCCACAGCATCCACTTACTATCAGGTGGGCTGTGTGCTCGCTTATCACACTTATTCAGTAAAAAATGATTTTTCTACCCAATGCTGGTATAGATATTGTACTTCTGGCGTTACCGAGATGATTATGCCTCCATATATCGGATAATAAGATCTTTTGAAGTAAACAAAGAAAGTTTAAATATGACGAAGTGAATAGTAGTGTAACCGTTACAGCCTATAAATGAACAACAACAAATGCTGCCATGTGACGAAATGGGGTGGTTTCAAGAGAAAGCGAAGAAATATGTGCATTGTGTGCTACATGTTTGTTCTGATTCTTATTTAATTAATAAACACAACAGTAATAACACGGATAATCTTGTACCTTAAAACATATCGGTCATTGCTGATTGAAATTCGATATGCGTATCTATGATATCTTCCGGCAAGCACTTTTAAGTGAAGGTGAAGATAATGATAACGATAACGATAGTACAAATTCATGCGCCCTTGAAGCGTTTCTAACTGAAAAAAAAAACGTAATGCTCTTAGTAAAAGTGACGTAACTATACAAAATACTTGAAAAGTCTCCAAATATAAATATTGCATAAAATTTTTACATTTTAACTATTTTTACTTGCAAATCATTATCATCATCAGCTGGCAAGAGTACATAGCTGGACATGACTCCCCCGTTATAGAAAATATTTGTTCTTTGTGATTTGTGGAAAAGCATTGTCAAGCTTGGCTAGAAAATTCACTTTTGATTGACATTGAACGCAGTAACAAACGAGAAACTTGAAGGCTGCCCTTCCTGCAATAAACGAGATATTTATAGTAGCATCTACTGGAAGGAACAAGATTTACTTGGTATGTTCTATAGTCGCCGCTTACCACATCCACGGGACGAAATTGGGTGTAGGATACTCTTGAGTCACTACAATAGTTGAGCCATGCTGTAGTTGTGTTATCATTGTGGTATGAATGAGATGGCTCGCTCGAGGAAGGTCCACGCTCTCACAGAATAGCAGTGTTAAATATCAGCTTAATGCTACTGTGTTCAGTATGATGAATGTCGAATACCGAAGACCCTTTTTAATGGTAACGACGCATTGTATCTTAGCTCTCAGGGGTGAAAAAACTTCTAAATTTTGATTCCTTATCGAGAATAAAATAGGTATAGTAGTCTATGGGCTACTTCACCCATTTACCATTAGCTGGTCTGTGTGCTCGTTTGTCACCTTGATATTATAGACATACTTTTCATAAGAATATGTTTTTAAAGTCTATGGTTTATTTTATAGTATTAGAGCGACAAACGCACAAGAAGCACTAAGCTAAAATACCGTATCGCCTGTAATCACATTTATATTCTTAATCCATTGTCGTATTTCAATTTGAAGCTAAGAATTTAATAAGTGCAGTAGCTAAGTATCGGCAATGCCATGTTCGAATTCCACACGCAACTAATGGAACAGAAATTAATTGTTCTGGAACTGACTGTTTACCCATTGACAAAGAAACACTTTTTATGAACAATTTAAGATGGTTAAATTGTTCTTAAAACATAATGTATTTAAATTCACCAGTTCTGGAGATATCCACTTAAGTGTTTTTTAAAGTGGCGGCTCCGTGGCGCAGTTGATTATCAATGAATTGCACCTCTAAAGGCCACGGCTTCGAATCCCGCACGGATCAAGTATGGCCTACAAATAACGGTTCCGGGACTGGATGTTTTTCCTTGAGCAATTTATGTATTTAAACTGCCTTCACAATACAGACGATATTCCTAGTGTAACGTTAGGTGTAGTAGTGTAGTCTATTTTCTTTATCTTTTACAAGTACACGTATAAATATTAAATAGTTTGTTTCAGAGCGCGCTCCGCTAGAACAAGTAACCATGTGCAAAGCACAGTGTTCATAAACTCAAGAAGAACCGGTGTTACAAGTGCATAGTTGCGCAATAGTTGTGCGAGGCGCAGTCGCGCGACATGCACCATGGCGGACGACAACACCATCATCGAGGGCACCGTCAAGTTCCGCGACGGGAAGAAGGTGAACACTTTTCATTAACTCCGTTATCGTTACAGCCTATCTGAAGTCCACTGCTGAACATAGGCCTCCTCCACAGATTAATTTATAATGCCGATATTTGCCATAGTTGCCATGCTAGGCGGGAGAGTTTGCTACCGCAGTAATTTATTATTTTGGGTTGTTATCAGGAAGATGCTGCTGCCCATCTCCTGTTTTAGTTTCCCTCTATCAACTCTTAAGACAACCACGGGATGATGTGGGATAGTAGATATACTTATACCGCTAGTACACAGTAAACTACCATCAATCAGAAGTTATTACATTTTTCTTGCGTTTCCCATAAACATCTCTTACTAAACTACGAAATGAGAAGATGAGGTCTCTTACGTCATTGTCCTAATTAATTATGTATTTTAATTAACAATCTTAACCTAAAACCGATATTAATGAATTCTAATTTTATTAAATTACTTTATACTTCAGGGGTGGTCCCATATACATTTTAAGAAAAAGAAACAACCCTTACAATAAGAAATATGGGTGAAGTTTCATTCTAGTTGTATCCATGAACTAGTGATAATGCTCAAATAGTTACAAGAAAGTAAAACAGCCTTCTAAACATCTTTTTTTACTTAAAATACTTAAAATGTAATTGATTTAAGAATAGGCAATCGACCAAGTTTTAAGGCACTAATTAAGGCAGCAAATTTTAATTAAATAATGCTATTCTTCAGAATAATTACATTGAAATGAATGTTAACTTAAATCGTTTTTTTTTCAGTGGAAGTCGCGGTGGTGTGTGATGAGAAAGCTGTCCCCGGTAGCGGGTAAGTGGCAAAGTATTTAATGTTTATCTTGAATTTAATATAAGGCAGGTGAGACAAAATATTGTATTTTAGACCCAACTCTGACTCTCAAGAATTCGTTATTCTTATAATACGAAATATACTCGGAAAAAATATGCGTACTCTAAATACTCCATTAAATTGTTAATCGAATGGCTTGTAAAATACTTTTATTAATCAATATTTAAAAAAAAATATACTTTAATTGTGGAAAAATGACTTTCGAGTGCTCGTTTTTTAAGCGATACCCAATTAATATTTTTATATAGTATGAAAGGTATGATATTGAATTAGATTCGTCGTCTACTACATTATTTATAAGATCCTTTATTTCCAGATAATGAGCAAAAACGTATCAAGTAAAGTAACTTTTTGCTCACTGAATGTCGCACGCTTGTTACGTGCTGGACAAATACGAAGTCAGTGGAGAAGGGAGTGCCAAAGCCTTTTTATATGAGAAATCCTCGCCTTAACATGAAATCAAATGAACTTTAACATAATTCCTCCATTCATTGATAAATATGTACATATTATATTCAATCATTTCGTCTTTGTGACATTTGAATTTATATACATATTTCATTATTCAACGACACAATAGCATAGGAGTTTATTTCCTTTAGTACATACTATAAGCAATAACTTTTTTTATAAAATGAGGTATGCATTTACAATGCTATGTCATTCAATCCAATAGCAATGTCAATCTTACAGCTGATAGTGACGTTCAGTGACGTTAGTCAACTAATTAGGTTCGAGTACGTCTAATTTGTTTATCCAGTGTCGTCCATACAAAATGTACACATCGTACCCTCAGGGAAAAAAAAGCATAAGATGAAATTTGCAATTTTACAGGAGAGCAAAAAAACTCTTAAAATACCTATAACTTTTTTTTCTGTAGACGAAAAATTATGGTTTATACATCCTTAAACAGATAAAAAAATACAACACAATATGAATATGTTCCTTTATTATTTAGTTTTATCATTTTATAAATATATGGAAATTAATATGTTGTGCTACTACTCGTAATTAACTCTGAATGTTCCGTTATAAATATTAGCGTTTATGTACATCTTCTCCTATAATTAAATTATTGTAGTAAAAGTAAATCCTTTAATAACTCTGTTGAATTTATTAGCAGTATACTTTTGGCGAGCGTAAATATTTTTACTGCATTATTTCCTTTTAATATTTGTTGTTTTTACTCAATAACCTAAACTTACCATTTTATTTCATGTATATATTATATAGGTGAACTTTAGTAAACAATAATACCACTGTATTTATTCTATGAAATGAATTAATTTTTTGTATATCTGGAGTTGGTACAAAATCAGTTAATAATATTGGTGAAGCAAAAAAAAGGCTCATTTATATTATGTAGAAATTATATATTTTTTAAAAGTTATAAAAATATTTCACAACAAAATATATTTCCATTTACATATATTTGCAACCACAATCAAAGTATTTAAGGCACACTATTATTTTAGTAATAAAACTACTTTAAAAGTATTAAAATTTTAAAGTGTAAAATCAGTCTCATAACAAAATAAACAAAACAATACCACTTATAAAAACAAAAGTTTGCGCTTCTACAAATATTATTAAATTGCTATTAAAGTTCTTATACCTGTGTACAAAATAACTATAGAAGTAACAGTGATTCGCCCTTAGACAATTCGAGTACCTAACTATCACAAAAATTCTACAGTTATCACAAAATAGTTGTAAACAGGCATGTAATTTTGATTTAACATTATTGCCTTTTAAATTAATTAACAGACAACTAATATTATACAACAAATATTTTTTTTCTCTTTGAATATCAAGTAAGTCTTATGAAACCGTTTCTATTATTACAAGAATTTATACAATTATTGTAAGAATTATTAAATCTATAAACTATTAATCTTCATCCGATGTATCAAAAATTTCTAAATTAGGTGTATCACTTTGCGTTACCAAATTTCTATAAAACCCTTGATAATGCAATGGTATAGCATTGGTATCACATAAGCTTATTAAATCCTTATATAAAGCATTCGAAATTGGTAGACATTTGTCATAAGCGGGCATGAGTTCATTTAAACTCTGAGGGCTAATATTTGTTTTACGTGTACGTGATGAGGTACGATTTGTTGTGTCTAAAACCAAGTAATCATGATTTTCAAAATCGTACTTAAAAAATAACTTGTTTGGTGTGTCAGGACATGCTTTAATTTCCTTTATTTTTGAAAAAAGGACTTTATTGCCGTTTGTATCGTGAATCCAGTTTTTAAGAGATGTTACTTGAGACTTAAAATTGTAAAAATTAGCCTGTGTCATTTCATTAACAATAAATTTATTTTGAATTTTCGCATTCATTATTATTTCATATAATTGATCGGGTGTATATAGTGTTTTATTTTTCATATTTTTTTCTATACAGGCATGCATTGAATCGCCTTCATTTTGTGTGTGTCCTGTCTGCAAAAATCGGTGAATAATTTCTAAGTGTAACGTACGTGAAACAAATAGATACATCGAAAAAATATATCTATTTCTATTCTGGCCAGAACAATTGTCAGAGTATAACGAAAGAGACTTTATGCCTCTACAAGCTTCCGCTTCAAAAAAATTATACAAGCAACTTGCGATTTCATTTGCACCTCTTTTTGCAATTTGTGCATGCCATAAGAAACAATAACCCTGTCGTGAAATTAAATTATATATAGTAAAATTATATGCTGGGTATTTTCTTTTATAATGAAAAATACCCACATTTGACTGAGGCAGACTTAGTACCTTCTCCAAATCAAATACAGCTACTGTTTTTAATTTTTGGTCAGCTAAATCTTTTTCCTTATTCTTTATTTCTCTAACAATATTCTTATTTTTAATATGACTTTCGTACTGCTGCTGGAGCTGGAGTTTAGCCTCTTCCGTTGCATTTTCATATTCACTGCATATTTTACAAATATCTTTTTTTGGTCTGAAAAAAGAAAGGTTAAATTGCGTATTAAATATTTGACTATATTGGTATTCACTTGCAACTTTTATATTTTGATAGTTTTCGTTCTCTGACACCCAAACTTTATATAACCGGTGCATTTTTGAAATATTTAAGTCCTGTGATAAATATTGTCGGGTAGTTTTTTGCCTTAAATAGTGAGACTCAATACAAGGGAATGATTTTATATGTTGTATAACACTTTGCTCGGTGGCATTTGTTGTTCTATGAGGTCGGTTTGCGTGCTTACCCCGTAGGTCTGTTATTTGTTTACCATTATTATACTTATCAATAACCGTGTAAACAGTTCTTTCTTTAATACCAAGCGTGTTTAAAAACATTGTTTTACAAACTTTGATTTTTGTTACGTGTCCTACATTATTTTTCATTGGCAAATAATATATCAAAGTTCGATTCCTTTCCCGTTGTCTCTGAACTTTAATAACTTTAGGTTCCTTAATTTCCGTGTTATTTAAAATAAAATGCCACTGAATTTCATGACAGCCTGTAGCCCAAAAATATTCAAATAAGTTCAGCCTATCTTCATGTTGAATAGTTTCAAAACACTTCAGCTTACAGGCGCAAGGATCTCTCATACATTTTTGTGGCTGTGCGCCAATATTTCGAAGTTTCTTTGTTTTTACTTTTGTCCACGTGTCCATGTTTCTTTGTCTTTTTCTAGGCTTGTGGTTACCTTCAGTCACTAATAATGGCTGAGACACAATTGCTTCTATTACCGGAGCTACGACTATATTATTTTCTGAGGTGATGGGAAGCGTTGGAAGGTTAATAATATTAGCTGAAATGACAGATGTAGAGCTACATGGAAGAATTGGAGCAGTAATTGTTTCCTCGTGGTTGTTATTGGATATCGACTCTATGACAATTTCATTTGGCAAAGGTGCAATACCGTCTATGTAAGGCTCTTCTAAATTATAATATTGGTTGATGTTTTCATCTTGGTTTAGCGTTTTATAGGAGGTGTTGTTTATTTCTGGTCTAGCGGTTATGGTATTAGTGGTAGGTATTGACTTTTGAGGACTTGGTAAAAAAATAACTGTCGGTGAAGCTATGAAAATATTATAATCGTTCTGGTTTTTGGTTGTAAATGGGCTTGATAAAAAAGCATCTTCGTTTAAACTGTAAGTTAGATCCTTCAACAACGATGACGTCATAGGATCGTTAAAATCTCGAACCGGACTGGAACTAGAGCTTGTATCTGAATGTGGTAAATATTCCGAGACTGCTGGCGAAAACGGCTCTTCATTTGATGACACACTCAGTCTATAATTTATCGAGGATCGTCTACAACTGCGACTCGTAGAAGGTTCATTGTAAGAGTTATCATGTGTCACTGAGTTGTTAGTTAATTGATTTTGCTCATTACAACCTAAAAAAAATATTATAGTATAATTTAACAAATAACATCCTTAGGCCTTTTTTCTCGTTTGTAGCTAGTAAATATGTATCATATTAATATTTAGGCAGATTTGTTAGAACATAAATCGCATGTAACTGAGAGCGAACCTATATCCTTTTGCCAAAACTGATCCCAAACACAGCACAGTCCCTAAGAATTTAATAAAACTACAATAACACGTCTCGAACCGGGAATCGAATAAAGTACCTCACGTACAGCCGGGTACAGTCACGTTTACTGCCACCGATTCGTCGAATTTTAATTGTTTATGCACTTTAAGTTATAAGTATATTATTTTCATTCCGATAGTAAAAAACCTTAATAATCCCGTCATACGGCACGGCTGCAGAATGAGTCATAAATACGCGACTGTACATCTACTATAATTACGTGTACTCTTTCAGAAACAACGTGGCCCTCTACTTATTTGAGCGGGAACCACTTCATGGCTAAATCCATAAGACCAAACAAGATAACACATTAATCTGTATTTATAAAATATAAGACTAATCGTTTAATAGGTCCTTACAGTTTACTACTGCAGTGCGACTGTGCCCGGCTGTGCATGAGGTACTCTATTTGATTCTCGGGTCAGGTAGTAGGTAGTTTTTTCTTCGAGAAGTTCTTAGGGCTTATGGCGAGTTTAGGACCAATTTTGGGAAATGGAAATAGGGTCACTCTCCGTTACATGCGATCTAAGTTTTATCAAATCTATCAAATGTTAATGTGACACCTCTACTTTTATTTAAATTAAAATACTATCTACTTTAGAACGGTTCAACTACTTACCTAATAAATCCAGAATCTTTTTTGATCTACTATTACGTTTGTGACTCATTATTAAATAGTCAATAAGTATATTAAGTAAGTCAATATTATTTCGAAAACGACACGTGCAATGCTGACAGTATCCAACATACATGCATACGGTCTAAGCTTACAGCATACACTAGCGAGTCACATGCCACGAGTGAGCGCGAATATCACTCTGCCCCTTCATCCCGCACCGACGTATTCACGTTTACTCGCGATATTATAAAATAGTTTAGGCGTATTATTACTTACTTGATTAACATGTTTTTTATTCGAACGAAATAACGCAGTAATCGTTCTTATTTAATAAAAAGTTCGTAGTTAAAAGAAGTAAGTAGACATAATGATGTTCAACTATTTATTAATTTGTGGATGAAAATCATAATCGTGTGTAGTTTAGTAGCGAAGAAAAAGAAAAAGGGGATTAAGACCATTATCATATTTATTTTATTTGTCTATATAACTTATGGTACATATGAATATCATAAGTGTTATAACGTTTAAACAAACATCAACATTTTCGCGTATATTCACTTATTCCGTTATTTACCAATAAAAAAATCTGAACTGTCAAACGATATAAATTATGTTTTCTAGCATAAAATCACTAGAATTAATGATAAAAATATGAAAAAAAATGAGCATATGTATCTTTAGTCGCTCTTTTCAATCATAATAATAACTAAAATTCAAAGTAATACTACTTATGCTTTTCTTCCCCTGAGGGTACGACATATCTGCCGTAATGCATTTTGCTCAGTGTCGTTAATAATTTCCATGTTAATTAATCAACGTGTGACGGATGCCAACGAACTAACCCCCTTCATTCTCCGCCTCACCCCCCTCACCTCTTCCCTCGCTAACACGCGGCCAGCATAACGTATTAATTAATAAACGAGTACCGCAGTGACACACGTGTGTAATATTTAATGCAAGGAATCGATAAGGTTATAGGGAATTATGTTTGACAGTTTCATATGGGACTATTAAAGTAGCATCATAGTTTTTATTTTTTTTACTTGCGTTTTTAGTAGTGTACCTATAACGTCAAAAATCTAAGTTACTAGAACATTTTTAGCTTACTGAGCGGAGTTACTTGCTAAACAGATTATTATTACATAGGATTATTTTGTCGAAGTCGGCAGAAAGAAGTTTTATTAGAGTTATTATTAGAAGCCATGGCCAGCTTTATTGTTAATTTTTTAAATAAAAGTGCTGGATTGCTAGAGTTCGCCTTACTTAAAACTGCACGCGCTTGCCTTACATTATTGTAGACTTTATCAGTTATATCATGTATAATATAATCAAAATGCAAACTCTATTAAAACATAATGGAAAGTACGCGCAAATGTGGATTTTACGTTAATTAAAACGGTTAATGTGACAAAATCTTGTAAAAAATACAAAGGAGGTGTGAGCAGTTTTAAATTAGACGGCTCTACTAGCAGCCTCGCAGTTTTAGGTACTTAAGAAAGGACACTATCGGGCTAATAAGCTGCCCATGATTACTAGTAATAACTCCAAGAAAACCTTTAATTGACTGTCTTTTTGCCGAGTTTTCCCAAATTATACAATTATACGCTTTTCTATGTAATAATAATCTACCTAGAAACTAACTCAGCTTAGTAAGCGAAAAGAAGTCCAGTAAATCAGATTTTTGATACACTAGTAAAAACGCAAGTTTATTCCCAAGATACATATTCCGTTTTATATAAGAATGTATTTAATTGTTTTTTTTTTAATATAAATATTTTAAAACTGCTTTTTGTTTGTTCGTAAATAGATGCTATAAATCCATTTGTTTCGAAAAGTTCAAGAAAATTTATAGAAAATTTGCGGAAATCTATTATAGTAAAAATGTCCTGATGATGCTCTATTTAGTGGCGAAACACGTGTCGTATAATACTATGTACAGTGGCTGTAACTGACATGATCTGTTGGTATGTTTAGTAGATATAGACATCCAAAGGCGTGTCGTTTTGCTTACAAATCTAAGTCAGCAACCTTCACGACAGTTTAGCTTAGTATACGTTGTCGTTTTTGCGAATAGAAGTGAAGTTAGGCTTAGAGCCCTGATAGTGCACACATTTGAGGGGAGGGAGGTGCTTTTGGAACTAGGTGGAGCACACCATTATTAATTTTATTTTTACTCGGATCTCAGATAATAAATTCTAATATCTTTATTAGTATGCCTTAAAGCTCTAGTATGTCTTAAGAATCCAGTACTCCTTAACCTGTAAGTATCGTAAAGGCAACATATGGTAATGAAACCGGAGATGGGAAGGCGCATTTTACTAAAAAGAAAGTTAAAAATGTGGTTCAAAATAATAAAACCTATTGCAAATATTCCCCCTATGAGGCAACCTGTAGGTAACATAAATATTCACCAGCAGATTTTTGATAGTCTGTAATGAATAATTAAATACTTAATAGATCAAAAAAGAACCTTTTATTTTAGTTTCGGAGAAAAGTTAACAAAATTCTCTACATAATCCACTCACGTAGTTTTTTCTACTGATGTAACGAACAGTTAGGTATCGCATGCAACTTGTCTTTAAATTTAAAGTTTTATTGCACATTCCTTCCGAGTAACTTGTGAAGTAGGAAGAGTAACAATGAACGAGTTAGCGCCGTCGCCGCAGCCCGCTAATGAAGTAAATGTTTTCTTTCAAGCACTATTGAGAGCAACTAAAGTTCTAATGAGGTGACTAGCTTTGAAGTTATTTTGTCGGCGTTTAACTTATTTTCAAAGGTTTTGGGTATCCATGGTCTAGGGGAGACCGAGTTATATGACGTTCTGATTACATATTTAACTCGTGCTACCTTCGTCTTTGAATATTAATTTTTAGTCCGATCTAAATATTATGTAGAACTAATAAGACTATTATGCCATTACAGCTTCCTGATAAGATATTCATGTTATGGCGGAGTAAGAATTCTTATATCATCCTGCGAGTGTAGCAACAGACGACAGAGTGAAACTTAAACCAGAAAATGGGCAGCAGCATCTTCCTTCAGTATATCGAAGTACTGAAGTGTTTGTACTGTAGGGCTACGTTGGCTATCCGACTTCTGTAGGCGGATAGCCAACGTACCAAAGTACGAAATCTATCCATATGCAGCGAGGTGTAAGACAGGGTGACGTTATATACCAGAAACTCATTACCGCTGCATTGGAAGACGTTTTAATACTACTGGACTGGAAAGGATACGGTATTAACGTCAATGCCGAGTACATCACTCACCTTCGATTTGCCGACGATATATTCCTTATGGCAGGGTCACTAGAGGACCGAAGTACTATGCTTAATGACCTCAATAGTGTTTCCGAACGGATAGGTCTTAAGATGGACATGGACAAAACAAAAATCATGCTTAACGTTCATGTCACACCTATGCCGGTAGTTGTTGAGAGCACTAAGCGCGAAGTTCTTGACGAGTATGTTTATCTAGGACAAATAGTCCGACTAGGTTAGTCCAACTTTGACCAAGAGGTCAATCGACAGATTCAACTCGGTTGGGCAGCGTTCGGGAAATTACGGCACATCTTCTCGTCAGGTATAACTCAAAGCTTGAAAACGACCAGTGCGTGTTGCCAGTGATGACTTATGAAACTGAGACGTGGTCCTTCACTATTGGCTATATGAGGAAACTCAAACTCAGCGAGCTATGGAGAAGGCTTTGCTCGGCATTTCTCTGCGTGATAGACTAAAAACGAGGATATTGGCAGTACAACTAGAGTAACTGACATAGCTCAAAGAATTAGTAACCTGAAGTGGATATGGACCGGCCATACAGCTCGAAGAACCGACAACCGATGGGGAAGAAATGTTCTCGAGTGGCAGCCTCGTACTGGTAAGCGATGTGTAGGGCGGCTCACCACTAGATGGCGTTATGAGCTGGTAAGACATGCAGGAAGTCAATGGATGTAGGTGGTACGGAACACGGTGGTACAGAAGTGGAATTGTGAAGGGCTGTTGTGGTGATAATGATGATGATCTTCCTGATAACAGCTAAATAAAAAAATTACGGTTGTCAACCAGCTTGCCAACTTGGCAACTATGTTCAGCAGTGGAATTTTGATAGGCTGTATGAATTAATGAATGCATAAAAAAAGTTATTTAAATAAGCCTAAATTAAAGAAAAAAAAGACTGACTTTATTTTTTATAGGATAAGGGTGACAAGCAAAAACACAGTCCGCCTGATAGTAAATAGTTTCTGTGGCCATAGACATCTAGATCTATCTTCGATTGCGAATCGAAATGCAGATGTATTGTCAGCCGTGAGGACTAAGATGGAATGCCTCTTTTCCATAAAAAGGGTCTCCGGTTCTCTACACTCATCATACGAAACATAGCAGCATTAAGCTGCTATTTTACGCTGTTATTCTGTGAGAGCGGGGTCCTTCCCCAGTCGAGCCGACCCATTCTTGCTACAACTATACAATTAATATAAGTGCAGCATGGCTATACCGCGTTTAAACAACTCTTATTCTTCATTAGACGATAACGACTCACATCCAGTCATCAGTCTTTTCGCTAATCAAATGACTTGTAAAATAACCAGATGAAGCATTTTCAGCCGTAAATCTTCCAGCAATTTTAGAGATGGTTGCAATACCATCAAGTTAAATGGTAAAGCGCGTTTTAGCGTATTATAGCTAGAGCACAAATGAATCGTCTAATACTGGGAAAGACCACTTCACATGGAATAGAACAAATATAACCTCGTCAAAAAAATGCATAATATGTAAGGAAAGAGTTTTATACCCGTCTGTATCAATGAAATCGGTTCTCAAGAGTATACCAAAACATCAGGAATAAACTCCATGTCCAAAAAATTGTGGAGCACAACAACAAGTCAACAACGCGATAGGGCAGGGCAGAGACCTCTTTACTGTTTTAAAACAATCTCAGAAATAGTACTATGCCCAGCAAATAGGGCTTCTGTCAGATGTTATAATATTAAGTTCCTGAATCAGGGTACTTACTACTATTATTTATTCTGTGATCAAGTATATAAAAGTTTACGGTCTCCAAAACCTACGGTCAATAAATAAAATAAAAGTTTAATTGTACAGTACAAAATATAAAATAATAATACTTTCTTTTTATCTATTTCTTAAAAAACGTTACCCCCACACTAGGATTTTCTCTTGTATCGTGGAGGCAGTTTACAAAAACAAATTTCACTATGACAAACATCCAGACCCGGAACAATTATTTGAAGGCCATGCAAATACTTGTTCCGTGCCGTGCCACA